TTTCCCAGTCTGGGTTTCCCAATCTGGTTTTCCCAGTGTGGTTTTCCCAGTTTGGGTTTCCCAGTCTGGTTTTCACAGTGTTGTTATCCCTGCTGCTCAGGTATTGGCCCATCCCGTTTTTTCTGGGATTGAATTCCTGGGGCATTCCCAGGTGCCCCTGCTGTGCTGAGGGTGGAGTTGTTGCTGTGCTGGGTGTGGCTGAGGGAGGGGACAGGGCCGAGCAGGAGGTGAAAAAGCAGCTCTGGTGACAACGACCCTCAGTTTGTGGTGTCGCTGAACGCCCCGAGTGCTTTTGGGTGCTGCAGGAGCTCGTGTTCTTCCCCTCCAGGGGCTCCCAGCCCTCTGGCAGAGGCTGCAGGACACCGAGAGGGGAGTTTGACTTCACTCCCTGGGGGGAGTGGGGAATGGGAGGATCCCCAGCACTTCACCTGGCAGAGTTTCTGTATTTCAGTCCCACCTTTCCCCCCATGTCTGGGGTGAACACTGAGCTCCTGGCTGTGGGGCAGGAGGGTTGGGGCTGCACAGGGTCAGCCCCACCACAGCCAAGCCTTCCAGTGCTTCCTGCAGCTCTGTGGCCTTTGGAGGCAGCAGGAATTGTACAGCTGAGGCGCCCAAAGGCTGTGTCACGCTGGACGGATCCTGGAGATATGGCAGAGGTGACCAAAATCTGTCTTTGTGCCCTCAGAGAGATGCTGTTCCAGCAGCTGCCTCCTGGTTTGGTGTGGGAGCCCAGCTGGTGTGAAGCAGGGCTGTGTGCTGAGTTTGGACACTCCTGCCTGTAGTCTGAGGGCTGACTGGGGTGGGACAACAAGGACAACTCCCTGGTGTCCACACCCAACTCCCTGGGACCCCACACTGCTCGAGCACGGAGGCTGAGGTGAGCACAGAGGGGATTTGCCTTTGTCACAGCAAAGGTTCAGGGTTCTCAGACTTAAAATGGGTCATTTCTGTGTTTTATCCTCATTTGATGTAGAAGTGAGAAGATTTCATGCCCTCAGTACAACCCCCAAAAGACAATTTAATGGCTGAGTTACAAACACGAAAGGGGAGAGGGCCAGGGCTGGCTGAGCTGTCAGTGTTTTAGGATAATACCCTGAGGGAGAGTAACAAAATCTGCCTGTGTCATAAATAATGCTGAATGGCTTATTTTGGCAAAGAATTTTCATTCCTGACAAATGCCATTTTGAGACAACCAATAACCACCTGCTAATTTGGGATGAAATTAGAATTGGACTCTGACATCCTCAGGTCAGCTCAGATGCAGTGTTTGGTGGGTTTCCAGCAGAGTCTCTCACATGGCTGATAGGAAATAATCTTTACGAGGCTGTCAAAGGGAAGGGAATACCCAGCCTTACAAATCCTTGAGCTGGTTTATTGGGAAGGCCTATGTCAGAGGATTGCTAAGTAAAGCACATTACATAAGGCTGCCCTTTGGGTCGCTGAGGTCTGGTAACTGGCACATATTTTCAAGTCTATCAGACTGATTTCAGCATCTCCTGAATTGTCAGTACCTCTCTGTTTTTTGAGGCAGAAGATGGGTTTTCTCTTCTGCAGACCTTCTGTGGTTTGGTGACTGTAAATGTGCTCAAAGATGTGTAAATGTGATTCTTTGGATGTGTCACCTGCACTTTTTAGCTTGAATCTGTCACAGCACAAGCTCAGCAGGTTGTGTGGCAGCTCAAGCTCTCTCTGTGACAGGGAGGATGTTTAGCTATTGAGGGGCAAGGTAGGAAATCCTCAGCACATCTCAGTTGGCCTCTGTGATGTCAAGGCACCAAGAATCCAAACTCAAACTCTGGTTAATCTAAGGTGACAGCTAGGGAATGATATTCCCATTTGGAAAGTACATTAAAAGTACAGGCAAACCTGCTCTCCTCCCACCAGTTCCTCTTCCTGGCTTTGTTGTGCCTTCATGTCATTAGTTGCTTTCCAAGGCGTAGGGCACCAGAGGTAGTTTTATGCAGGGGGGCAACAGGCCCCTTGCTTGGTGTGTGGGGATTTACTTTTAACTGCTTAGAAGCCAAACCTTTGGAAATGATGTTTGCTTTAGGTTCTGGCCTGTCCTGTTGGATGAGGCTGGACTGGGTGCTGTGATTCCAGGCCAGGTCACATCCCTGGGGCTGCAGGGTTTGCCCACCTTCCAGTGCTTGGAGAGCTTCATGTCCGGCCTCTCCCACAGGCACTTTTGCTTCCTTGGAGAGGACAACATAGATAAGGCTGAGCTTTATCCTGATCTGCTTTGTAGAACCCCTGATGTGCTCACGTCTAACTCAGTGTTGCCTGGGCTTGCCTTTGAAATGGCAGAGTGTGGCTGCCATCCTGCCCCGAGCTGGGACCGTCCCTGAGGGGAGGAGCACAGGCCAGGAAACACCAGGAATGTCTGCAGTCTGCAGACTCGGGGAGGGGTGGGAGCAAGGAGAACTCTGGGTGCTCCATGGGTGCCCACCACTCTCTGCCAGCTGAGGAAACTGTGTCTGTAACCTTTTCATCCCCTGCCCTGGGGCTTTGATTTTGGGACTTTGTCTCGTTTCCCTCAAGATTTCCCTCCATCAGCTCCAGGTGACTCTGGATAAATGTCTCCCAGCAGAGAGGCTTTACTGACAAGCCAACCAAGTCTGGAGGTGTCTGATCTCCATTTCCAGCCTGACCCAATGGTTCCTAATCCCCTGTTAGAACCTTGCACACCTTTTATTCCAAAGGACTGTAGGTGACAGAGGCTGCTCTCAGCTGTGTAACAGGAGTGCAGGCTCGTGCCTCTCTGTGCTGATAAATCCACATTAACACTGTGAGCTGGTGCTGTGAAGTGCTCTGTCCATCCCTTTTCATACTCAATGAGTTATTTTGAAAAAGGAAAGTATGTGGAGATGCCTCGTCTTTAAATGTACCTGGTCACCTACTTTTATCTGAAATTCAATTTATCTTATCCATCAGGGGCCCTACTTGTTCTCCAGGTTGGTTTTAAACCAGCTGAACTCCAGTTTCCTTTAAACCACCCAGAGCCCTTCAGCTGCATCAAAGTTTGTAATGACTCGCTGTGAAGAGGAAACACAATCCGGAGAAAAAGCTCCACTCTGACTGACCTGTGAAATGCTGAAGAATTTTGTTCATCTCAAGTTTGTCCAGCACCATTACTGGTATGGACTAAAATAATAACGAATAGGAGGCAGGTGCTCCGGGTTCCCATAAAAAACCAGATCCTCTGGATGTCTGGCGGGCTAACAGCCCTGTGACAGGCGACACCGGCCAGGGCAGGGCCAGACAGCCCCCGGGAGGGAAGGGACAGGGAGAGGAGGGACATTGGAGAGAAGGGACATTGGAGAGAAGGGACGTGGAGAAGGCGAGAGGAGGGAGCAGCTGAGGAGGCTCCAGGGACCCAGCACTGCCCCACCGAGCTCTGCCTGCGCAGGGACCGGCTGAGCTGCGGCTGCCCCAGCGCCCGGGGCAGGAGGGGACGTCGGGTGGCACAGACATCGTGTGGCACGGGCAGGTGAGTGCACAGACATCGTGTGGCACGGGCAGGTGAGTGCACAGACATCGTGTGGCACGGGCAGGTGAGTGCTGAGACCTGCTCCAAACAGGGGCTGTGTTTGCTGTGAGCCCAGGTGGGTTCGAGCTCCTTGTGATCACCTTCACGAGGCAGAAAAGGTGGAGGGACAGACCCTGAGGGGGGACAGGCTCTGTGGAGGGACAGGGTGAAAAGGAGAGCGATGCCCTCTCTTTTGGTTTTTTTCCTATATTTCCTTTTTTTTCTATATTTAATTTTTTTTTCTGTATTTGCTTTTTTTCTATATTTCCATTTTTCTGGATGGGACTTTGAGAACTTGGTCAGGTGGAAGGTGTCTTTGACCATAGTAGGAGGTAGAACTAAATGAGCTTTAAGGTCCTTTCCAACCCAAACCATTCCAGGATTCTATGATTCTGTGATTTTGGTTATTTCTCTGCTGGATGCCAGCATAATTTTCTGACTCTGGATTACGCCTATTTCATTTTGATATTTTCGTGCTGGATGAAGAGAGAGTTTGACAGCTAACAACCTTCAGCAGGAATGGGACAGCATTCCCAGAAATGGGAGTCCTCTGGTGCATTAACTGTGCAGGCACAGGTCAGGCAGGGCACTACCAGGACAGTGCTGGAATTAATTCCGGCGTCCCACACAGAAGGTGGGAAGGTGGCACATGCTGGGGCCTCTCGGGGCTCCAGGAAGAATTTCTTACCATTTATTTCAGTGTCAAACTTCCCCACACAGGGAATTAAATGTTATAATAGCTCCTCAGGCAAGGACAGGGCTTTTTTCATCTGTTGCCACTGGCAGGTTGGGGCAGCAAATAAATAAACAAACCAGAACTGGGGGGTTTGTTGTGTCTAGTTCGAAGCAGGGAGGGGAACTGAGAAACTGCCTCGTAACTTCAATCCCTGGTGGCATCTGAATAGCACAAGTTCTATTATTTTTTTTATTTACTGCAGGCACTGAGCTTTATTAACCCTCTGCCTGCCCAAGGGGTGGCACATGCAAAGTGGTTCCAACACATACAGTTAATTTTAGCTGGAGAAGGGCATTTGGCAAAGTCCAGTGGCCATGTGGGGTCAAATGGAAGGGGCACAGACATGTCTTGCTCTCTGAGTGGGTTAAAATGTGCTTTTCTTCAGTGTCTGGGGTGGAAAGTCCTGAGGGGGATGATGTGTCTGGTCACATGTTGATGTTTAATCACATCTTCGGTGAGTTTATATTAAATGTGTGTTGCCCACTATCTTGTTTTTTCCATGTGGAAAAGGGCAAGTAACTTCCAGCACTGGCCAGCCCAGGTGTTGGAACATGCAAGGATAGTCCTGGGAGCAGCTATCCCCAGGGAAAGCGGGAATGTTGGGTTTATGGGCAGCCAGGCTCCATCTCGATCCTGGATCGTGCTGCCAAACCCCTCCGGTCAGTCACAGGTGCAAACCTTGGACTGGTCCTGGACAAGGGAAGAGCAGGAATTCTGTGTGCTCTGGGAAGGAGGGAGCTGACCCGCAGTGTGAAGGCAGAGCACTGCTGCCTCTTGGATCCTCACCCCAGTTCCAATCTCCTCCTGTTGAGTTGCAGCTCAGCGGGAGCTGCAGTGGGTCCAGTCCTGGCTCTGTGTGGGCAGGGCTGATAGACCTCAGCTCACTGCTGGCAAAGGGGCACACTGGCATTTGGGTGGGTGTGGGGGAAATAACCAAGGCTTGGAGACTCAGTGGGTCCCTTAAATTTCTCCTGAAGGGTCCGATGTGGGTGATGTGCTGCTGAGGGACTGGGCTGAGCTTGGCTGTCTCCCACTGAAGGGAGCAGCGTGTTCTCCAGACTTAGTACCTCACCTTCATTTAAATTCAAATATTATGAGTTCAGAAGACTCACTGTGGCACCCATATGCATTGTGGGACTATTCCTGGTGCAGGGCATCCTCCTGGTCAAACCAAAGCGCTGCTGTGTCACCCACCTGGCCCGTGGACAAACAATGTCCCTTTGCTTGCACAAGACCAGCGTGATCAGCCCTGCCAGACTCCCTTGACTCGGGATAGGATGGTGGGTGCTTGTAGAGCTTCAGGTACTTGGTAATCTTCACTGAATTTGGACCTTTAATCTGTTTTCCATGCCCAAGTCTCTCTTTAAATGACTACAGGTTTTGGGGTTTCCTTGCCTGATGTTTGTGGGATGCTCATTGCTGTTACATCAAGGTAGACTTGAAACGCCGAGCTCTGCACATCTTCACCCGTTACATCTCTGAATGTTTCTGCTCCAAAACCTCTCTGACATCCCCTTGACCCTCAGTGCAGTGCCTGCCTGGACACCCCACGCTGCAGGGGAGTGCTGTGGCTTGGCCAAGTGACTCACATACGAGACCAGTCTTTGAACTTGGTCATTTGTTTACAAAATGGAAAATCCAGCCAGTTTTTTGAACCTACCTTGGTTTCTTTGGTTCCTGCTCTGTCTGAGCCATGTGGTGGGTGCCAACAGTCTGCAGGAAGGGCTGTGCCAGTTGGAGGGGGAGGACTTTGTGCTGGTGTACCAAGGAAGGGAAAACAGAAGATTAGAAGAGTCTTGTTTCCAGTTAAATTAGACTCTTAAATTCAGTCCTGAAATAACTGTCCTGCAGCTGTCACCTCTTGCTACTTCCTCACTGCCTTTCCTTAGGGGAACAGACTTTCTTCCAGGGAAAAATGTGGCCCCTCTGCAGTGAAAGCAGTGGCCACTGCTGAATGTGCCAGGCCTTGCTGGGACATCCTGCAGGTTCCCAGTGGCTCCTCCACTGGCACACAGGGATTGTTCCTCCACTGGCACACAGGGGTTAACAGGGCTTTGGGTGGGCGGGTGGAAACCAAGCTGTGAAATGGAAGAAGGTCAGGCTCTTGGAGGAGTTTGCTCTGCCACAGATGGTTTTGAGTTATCCGCCCGTCTATGGAGAGGTCTCCATTCCTCCCCCCCCCCCCCCCCCCCCCCCGAAAACTGTAAAACCAGCTCTGGAAATAAGGCAAAGTCTGATCAGGCTCATGGCTGCAGTGGAACGGGCAGAGTGGTGGCTCTCCTGGTACTCATTAGACCCAACCATCTGTCTTATTAGGAATTCCTCAGTTATTCAGAACCCAACACCTAAATGCCATTGGAGACTAAAAACCATTGGCACTTTTCTGTGGGGAGCAAATGACTGGAAAGGGAGAAGAGGAACAGAAGGAATCCCTGTGGCTCTGGATGGCTCAGGCCCTTTGGGATAACTCTGCTCTTGCTGCAGTTGATGAAAGCTGAATTCAGGTTTCAGTGGAAGCCAAGAAATGTTTCCTCTGGGAGCATTCCCATGGTCTTCACGAGGTGTTTCCATCTTTAGGGACTTGTCTAGCAACTGGTTTTATTAATTTTAAGGCTACAACAAACAGTCAACAAAGCAACAAACTGCTGTCCTGGACCAGTAAGACCAAAGCCTAAGGAGGCCCCCTTGGGATGGTCATCGGCCAGAGCAGGGGGAGGAGGGTGCTCCCCCTGGGAATCCCACTGGGACACTGCTGGAAAACAGTGTCTGCTGCTGAGAGGCTTTTCCAGCAGCAGTCCGGATTTTCCAAATCCTTGTTGTCCGATTTTCTTGGCTCATCAACTTTCAGATTGTTTAGAATTGCTTTTACTTTTGCATCACTGCAAATGTCCCAGGGGATGTAGGACTGAAGGATCTCAGCCCAGGCACGGGCTAAAATTGACATGGTTTACTTAGGAACTGGGAAGGTAGAAACACTGTCACCAGCAGTAACAGTCAAAAAGAAGGAAGAAATGAAGAAAATTACCCCAGAATTTCATTTTCACATTTATCTTTTAAATTGTGGATTGAAATGATGATTCTCATCCCAGCAAGGGAGAAGTTTTTGAGACCTGGTTGAGAATCTTTTTTCTAAGACCAGTGGAAATGGTGCTCTCTGAGGTTATTCTGTCTTCATCCCATCTAACATGAGTCTTAGCTGTAGGACCAAGGTTTTTCTGTATGTTCCCTTCCCCACTAACCTCAGATTTTAGAATTATCACCTCCTGGTAGAAAACCAGAGGAAAACCTTGTTCTGATTCTGCCAGCCCCAGACATCATGTGAACCATGGCCATCACAGTAAAAATACTGCTCTGGAGCCAGCCCTTCCTCCCTGAGCTGAGCACGAGGATTTAATATGAATATATTCACACAATCCAAGTTAAAAACAATGGTTGGATGCTCTCAGCCAGAAGTGAACGAAAGTAGACTTCAGACCGAGCAGGTTTTTCTTCCAGCATGTGGTGCTGCTGGGAGAAGAGAACCTTCAGCCCCAGACTGGCCACCACTTGATCGTCAGGAACCAAACAGAGGTCCCTTTGCTTCCAGGGGAGCTTCCTGAGGAGAGGAAGGAAGGCAGAGGCAGAGGCAGACTGGTAGCAAGAGATTTGGGGGCACAATGTGCTGCACTCGCACTTCCAGAGTAAACCTGTCCATGGGCATCACAGGATGGTTTGGGTTGGAAGGGACCTTAAAGACCATCTGGTTCCAACCCCCCTACCCTGGGTGGGGAACCTTCCACTGGTGGAAGAAGTGGCTGCTCTCGGGAAAGGGATCAGGCTGTGGCTGTGTTGGAAGCCAAAACGGCACACTGAGGTGTCTTTGGGCTGCAGCAACGAAGATCCTCCAGGAGCAACTGGATTTCTTTCAGACCTCTTGGAACAGCACAAACTGAGAGGCTCTGCTGGTGAAGGCCAAGCCCAGGCATGGTTGGCCCAAACACAAATGCAGTAATCCACTGGTTTTACTTCTCTGCTGAGGGATTATGGGATCTCCTGAGAACTCGTGGCCTCTGAGAGCCCCTCTGGTGGCGCGTCCAACAGAACTGCGTGTGCAGCTCGTCCTTCCTTGGATCTGCACCAATGTTTGTCCTTTTTTGAGGCACAAGGTCTTGCCTTTGGAGCTCCAGCCTTGCCCTGACTGATGGTCGCGTCTGGCCGAGCTGGCCCCGTGCCGTGTCCGTGCCCTGCCAAAGGCTCCGGGTTCCACGGCACCTCCCCTGGGGCCGGGGCAGCGTGGGGCTATAAGGAGCCCCCAACAAGTGCCCACAGCACAGCGTGGGGACATCCTGTAGGTATCAGCAGCTCCTGAGCGCGGTCTGAGCTTCTGGGACGGTGGAGAGGGACAAGAATTTGTTTCTGTTGCCATTTGGTGACATTTGCAAGGGGCTGATGAGGGGCGTGTCTTGTCTCCTGCAGATCTCTAAATACCTGTGACCAGGGGCCCGCGGGGCAGCGATGAGGAGCTCTGCGCTCTGAGGCACCACACGGAGCCACCACGGTCCTGGGAGACACAGCAGCGACCTCGAGCAGGACCATCCCAGAACCTGTAAGGTAACGAGATGGTCGTGTCACCACTGAGGTTCGTGTGGGGCTGGTGCAGAGCTGGGGGCACGAAGGGCCACCCTCGCTGTCACGGGGGACTCTGCTTTGTGTCACTGGAGGTCTGAAAATGGTTGTGAATGTTGTGGGAGAAGTGGGATCCTGTAGGGTTGGATCCTGTAAGGTCGGGTCCTGTAGGGTTGGGTCCTGTAGGACTGGGGTCCTGTAAGGTTGGGGTTCTGTAGGGTTGGGGTCCTGTAGGGTGGGTCCTGTAGGGTTGAGGTCCTGTAGGGTTGGGATCCTTTAGGGTTGGGGTCCTATAGGACTGGGCTCCTGTAACATTGGGATCCTGTAGGGTTGGATCCTGTAAGGTTGGGTCCTGTAGGGTTGGGCTCCTATAGGATGGGTCCTGTAGGGTTGTGTCCTATAGGGTTGGGCTCCTATAGGGTTGGGTTCTATAGGGTTGGGCTCCTATAGGGTTGGGCTCCTGTAGGGTTGGGCTCCTATAGGGTTGGGTTCTATAGGGTTGGGCTCCTATAGGTTTGGGTTCTATAGGGTTGGGCTCCTCTAGGGTGGGTCCTGTAGGGTTGGGTCCTGTAGGATTGGGTCCTCTAGGGTTGTGTCCTGTAGGGTTGGGCTCCTGTAGGGTGGATCCTGTAGGGTTGGGCTCCTATAGGGTGGGTCCTGTAGGGTTGGGTCCTGTAGGATTGGGGTCCTGTAGGGTTGTGTCCTGTAGGGTTGGGCTCCTGTAGGGTTGGGCTCCTGTAGGGTTGGGTCCTGTAGGGTTGGGTCCTGTAGGGTCAGTCTCCTGTAGGGTTGGGCTCCTGTATCCCTGGGCTCCTGTAGCACCCACTGATTTCCCAAGGAAGATGACAGGCTGTTGAGGATCTCCTGTACCTGTCCCATGGAGCTGACACTGCATTTGTGGCACAGGTACACTGAGGTTCCTAAAGGTTTTTATCTTGGGCTCATAATTTCTTTGGACAGTAAGTAGGGATATGTTATTTTTCCCTCCTGGCAGTAGGACTCTGTTGTAGATGCCCTGTGACACTTGCTTTTAATCTGGTGACTCTGTGAAAGTGCCTGTCTGTGTTACAAAAGAATTCCTGGGGGTGTTGTGGACATGGGAGGGGACAGCCTGACCTACTTCACCAAAGGGGTGTGAATTCATTGTCCTGCTCACCCTTAGAAAATACAGCTGGGGTGTGTTGCCTCTTGGCCTTTGGCCTCAGTGCCACTGTGCTGAATAAACAGGGGCAGAGTGTCTGGTGTTTGTGTACAGGGATCAGGGGCAGAAGGAGCAACCACTTACGTTGTATTTGTAATCCCCGAGGCAGAGAAGATCAGGGGGGGTATAGATTTACTGTGGGGATAAGTCACACAAAATCTGATCCTTGGGCATTCCTCCTCACTCTGCACAACACCTCCATTCATCACTGGGGAGCTCGTGACGTTCCCCCTCTGTGACCTGCTCAGAACTTCGCATGAAGCTGCACTTCTGCATTTGCTGGTCTTCAATCCTGTGGTTCTAACCAAGGGCTTGGAGATTGTCCTTTAGAAATGTACAGTGGGGAGACTCAAGCTCAAAAGATTGCTTCAGGCTAACAAATAAACACAGAAAGCCCACCCAAAGCTAAAAGAGAAATTTTAGGTGAGATCCTTCTTCTCAGTGAGTACCTGGGTCTCTGGGGTAAAGCACTGCTGGAATTTGGGACTAAGCACACAGCAGTTTGGTATTTTGGTTAGAAGGTTTGCTGTGTTAGGACTGCCTTGATTTTTATGAATTTCAAAGAGAAATTCAAAGAGAGATACAAAGAGAAAAGGAGGTCAGAGGAGGTTTGGGCTGGATCTCAGGAAAAGGTTCTTCCCCCAGAGGGTGGTCAGGCTCTGAACAGGCTCCCCAGGGCAGTGGGCACAGCCCCAAGGTTACCAGAGCTCCAGGAGGGTTTGGACAGGGTGGGATTGTTGGGGTGTCCTGTGCAGGGCCAGAGCTTGGACTGGATGATCCTTAGGGTCTCTTCCAGCTCAGGAGATTCTCTGATTTTATGATTCTGTGCTCCTATGCAATAGAATACTGCATCTGTTGCTGATTCCTTTATTAATAATGCTGATTTAAGGCTGTGTCCATGGCTTTGTCCCCCCCACGTGCTGTGCTTGTGCAGGGCCTGTGGCACATCCTGTGCCTCTGGACCCACCTCCCTGTGAACCTCCCATTGCCCAGCACTTCCCCACAGGTTTGGCTAATTTTGCTCACCAGCCCCTGCCAGCAATTATGTCACATCTTGTCTGTGTGTTCCACCGTCTGAACCCCATAAATAACTCCTTGTGACACCACCAGCACCTACAAATCCTGTGACTCCCAAATGTTCTGCTTCTCTGCTCGGCTGATTTATGGCCCCAGCACTGGTGTCCAGTCAGGCTCCCCGGGACAGGGCTCCTGCTCTGGCTCATCCAGACTGGCGGACAGACAGGATGAGGGGCAGCCCTCCCAGCCCACTGGGCAAGCTGGGTTATTTTGGTACATTAGATATTGTCAGTAGCCAAGGGCTCGCTCTGGCTTTGCCACATCTCCAGAGGGGGTGTCTGTGCAGCTGCATGGAATTCCACCTGGGATGGGGAATGGCCAAGGCTTGGATACCTGATGCACAACACTGCTGTGTTTTCCAGAGGAGTGAGGGTGTTGAGCTCCTTCCAGTGTCTCCCTGTTGTGCTGGGAATGTTGGTCCACAGCACTCCCCTGGGGAGGAGGGATTCCCTCTTGGAAGCATTTCCTTGCCTCCACTGAACAAATCATCCTGATGTGGACACCAAAGTTTCAGGCACCTCTGAGTGAAGACGTGACACTGTGACCATTTTTGCTGTCTCATTCTAAAAATCCTGTGATTTCTTTTTCTGGATTGAACTGAAGTCAAAGCACAGACATGGGCATTCATGTAACAGGGGAGTAGAAATTTTAAAAGTGAGAAGGGCAGAGTTGGATGAGTCCATGCCAACCAGTGTGTTATTTTCTGGTCCTTATTTCACACACAAGACACCAGAAAATGTGATGTGGTTGGATTAATTACACTGAAGGAATGTTCCCTTGCATGCCCTGGCACTGTTATTTTAACTGTGCAATCAATGTGTGGCATTAACATGCTTCGTTCTCATTCTCCAGAAGTCAGCAATTCACAGCAGTTTAAGGACTCACAGCAGCTTATCTTTAATCCAAGTGAATTTCTGAAATATTTAAGACCCTGTAAACTCAGCAGTTTATCCATAGTGCACATAGTTCATGTTGTGCACTGGGAGATGCAGACATGGAGCCTGTGTACAAATATTGTTAATATTTAGGCTTTTTACAAAACTAGATTTGAATGTGGCCATTTCTCAGTTGGTTTGAACTATGTTTACATATACCCATGGTCCCACAGGGCTGAGAACAACAGCCTGGCTTGAAACATTTGGTAATTTAAAATAATAATAAGATTCTTGATGACTTTGGGCCTGAAAGTTTGGATCCTGTTTCAGTGTGGATGCTTGTCAACATTGCCTGGTGGGGAGGGGAAGAAGTTGGGAGTAGCAAAGAATAAATGTAAGTGCAACATAAATAGAGCTTAGTGGAAGCTGCTGCAGGCTGGTGTCAGGTAATCCTGCTTGGTGAACGTTGTAAGCACCAGGCATTCCAGCCCCAGGAGTGGTGACATGTTTAGGTGACAAGGGAGATACAAGAGGCAATAGGGGATTATGATATTTGCTGGGAGGACAAATTAAATCCATCAGAAGAGGGTGATCAAGAGCCTCTCAAAATCTCAGCCATTCACTGTGCAAAGCTCTGCCCGGGGCAGGGCAGGGTGCCCTGGAATCAGCTTCCTTTCCTTTCGGTTTTGTGTCTTTCCCCTGACACAAGCTGCTCGTTCCCTTCATTTGGAAGTTCTGAAACATCTCCCAAAGGTTGACAGAGGTCACTGTAAAACCCTGTTTACAAGGGTTTGCAGGAGGAACTGCCAAAACAGCAGCACCCAAGTGAGACATGGAACTCCTGTGGTGGTGGGGAGAGCAGGAATCACTCACAGCAGGGCAGGGAGGG